AAAAAAAAAATGTGCAAAATGATGTAAAAATAAACTTTGTAATAAAAAAATAAATAAATAAATAAAATAAAATAAAAATAATTCCCACCCAGCGCCCCCACCCACCCCACCCCCAGAAGAAGGAATGTCAGAATCATGGGGAGTCACCGGAGGCCACGCTCTCAGTTCACAGCTGATTGGGCCAAAGGTATGGGTCCACGTGATCCACGAGAACCAATCAGAAGTTGAGCTGGGCCAGCCCCACCCCCACAGGGGCTGGTCCTGAAAAGCTGGAGAGGTTTCTTGGATGGCTGGTCTCAGGGTCTCGGAGCCTGGGGGACCTTGCCAGGGGTGCCTGGCCCAGGGGCAGCTGGCCTCCCGAGGGGAAGGAGGTGACACCAAGAGGCAGGTGTGAGTTGAGTCCCGACAGTGGCTTTCTGGTCCTCAGTCCTTTTCCCTTGGAAAAACCCGCTGTCCTTCCGCCCTTGGGTTCTATGAGATATGCCATGTCCCCCTAGAAAGCCCCCCTTTTTAGCTCTGACCCTGAATTTTGCTGATGCCCTTGAGGCTGACCTGCCAAGGAGGCAGAAGCAGTGCGGGGCCTGGATGGAGACGCCACCTGTTCTCAGTCGGATTTTTCCTTTTCTCAGACTACAGTTCTCACAAAGGAGAGCCGGGAGCAGGTGAGGGAGGCAAAGGATTGCACTGAACAGAATGTGACTGTCGGGAAGGTGCTACCTGGTGTGGGGGGGGGGGGCGCGGGTTGGAGGGTGGGTGTGTCTGAACCAGCCAGCTCCATCAACACCAACATATCACGCTCCTACTTAATGTCAGGCTCTGTTCTCTGCTCTGGGTGGAGCTTAAGCCCTGCTCTCTGTGGGCTGGGGTCTTGCTTGGGCAGTGTTTCCCAAAGAGGGTTCCCTGGCCTTGAACCACAATGAGCATGGTCATTTGGATTTGGCTGCTTGAACCAGGTCCCGTGAATTTGAAAACCACTGAGAACCGTGTGCGCAGAGAGACCTGGCCTGCAAGAGGAGACACATGAGGAGAGGTCGGTGCAGCAAACAGCCTACATAGAAGAGACGAGCAGCTGCTTTGCATTTCCTGGCCTGGCCCCCTCAGCCTGGCCTCACTCTCTGCTCTGTGGGCCCATAGGATGCACTTGCTGCCTTCAATCAAGTGCTAAAAATCTGAGTGGGTTGCTGTTACTTGATGCCAGGTACCTTGAGACAACTTGGTTCTGGACGGATAAGTGTGAAGCCCAAGTCAGTCAGCAGTGGGCACGCAGGATCCCTGGGAAGGAACACGTCGATTGAACCACAGGCCGTAGAGGGCAGGCCCTGGAGAGCCCTTCTGAGGATGAATGGGCTCATGTGTTACCTTAAAAGCCCCAACAAGACCCTGAAGCTCCTCCAGCAAATAGGGCTGGGACTGGAGCGCACTTGTGAGGGGCCGGTCCCTGTTCTTTCTGCAAAACCAGAGGACAAGAGATGGGTTTTCTAGAAGAGAGGACTTTATGGCTTGGGTTTGTCTGTCTGTTTCATATTAAGAAAACAGGATGAGAAGAAAATCTGGGACACATGGGGAAAATAAACCCAAAATTGAAGAAGCTGTAATAATTGTTCAGGGGATTCGGGTCCTTCCCGGACCGTGAATGGAAATCAGCCGGCTTGGGAGGGTGAGAACAAGAGCCAATGAAAGCAGAGGAATAAGCATTTGATTTGCAGCTGTGCTGGTGTCAGGGACAGTGAAGAGCGAGGCACTGAGTCGGGTAACCTAGGTTTCTGCCACCCACCGGCCTGCCCTGTGCTCTTGGGCAAATCACTAGTCAATCCTGTGCCTGGACTTCGGCCTCCATAAAGCGGGAGCGATTATGGCATATGCAGCCAGGGCTGTGGGCACACGGCCAGGTACCCATTACCAGCCTGTGTTAGCTGCTCTTGGTGTTGTGATTATCTTCTTGTTGGTTTCCTGGACAGGGACCTCTATTGTACATTGTGTGGGAAGCCCTGTTCGCTTGCTCCTGGACAGCTTAGTTTCTGGATGAGTTTCCCTCCCTGTTTAATAGATTCATTCATTTCTTAGCAATAAGAGGATAGGATGATCTAAGTTTGCATTTACCAGTCAAGAAGGTCAGAAAGAAGCAGAGGGGAGGAGTGTGAGGAGGACACACACAAAAGCCTGGGAGCTTCATCATTGAAAGAGACCAGAGAGAACCAAAAAAGATCCAACTATCTCAAGGTTGAACGCAATCAGAGATTGACAGCTTCTGTTCATGTGCTATTTTATTTGGGACCAACTTGGAAAGGGGGGCTTTCACAGATGTTAATGAAAACACTCCAAAGATGGAGTTCAGAGCTGGGAGTCCTCCCCATGCCTAGCAGGGAAGGGAGTCCTCCCCACCCCTGGCAGGGAGTCTTCCCCAGTCCTGGCAGGGAGTCCTCCCCAGCCCTAGTAGGGAGTCATCCCCAGCCCTGGCAGGGAGTCCTCCCCACGCCTAGCAGGGAGTCATCCCCACCCCTGGCAGGGAGTCCTCCCCACGCCTAGCGGGGAGTCTTCCCCAGTCCTGGCAGGGAGTCCTCCCCAGCCCTGGCAGGGAGTCCTCCCCACGCCTAGCAGGGAGTCTTCCCCAGCCCTGGCAGGGAGTCCTCCAAGCACCATTTCATCCTGGCACTGCCACATCCAAAAAGTATGAACTTGGGCAAGTAATTTGACCCTCGGAGACTAGATCTTTTTTCCCAGCCAGTGGAGGTGACCACTTTTGAAGCAGGTGCCTGACGGCAGCTCAGGTGAAAGCGCAGAGAACATGAGGGCTCCGTGACAGCCTGGCTAGGACACAGGCGAAGACCACACCCCTCTCCCAGCATAATCCTCACACTCAGATTCTGAACATGTTCTGGGAAATTTCACCAAGTGCCAGCAGCCATTTGCCACTCCCAGGAAGTGCCAGCACGGCCCCATACCTAAGGCCAGTTAAGGTCACACTGGGGCCAGCCGGAGCAAGGCTCAAGTCCTCAGTTCTCTGTCAGCTTCCTTGCGTGGCATTCGGTCACAAATGACCCCAGCACCCCAGAGCCAGGTGAGAGCCCAGCGCCTGGCAGCCAAGAATCAGCACCATCAAAAATTAAGCAGGAGACACACACAACTTAAGGGGCAGCTGAGGGTGGTGCTTCGCAGTAAAGAAAACAACTCATTTTTACCAAGATGGTTTTCCTACCCCTCGCCAATCCAGGATCATAAATCTAATTCTCCGTGGCTAGTATGACCGGCCTCGCCTCTCCCTTTCCTCCATGCCCGGCCCAATGCTGTATGTCAGAGCTGGGATTTATTAACTGTGATACCAAGGATGTGGAAAGATAATGGTCAGTAGTACAAACTCAAAGAGAAATGAGAAATCTTAGATTATTTAAAAGCATACTTGGAACTAATGGAGGATCTGTAACAACATAAAACGACTAGAATACGATTTGGGAAGCAAAAATGATGGCATGATCTTTTCTCCGCTGACTTTCTTCTCTGAAAAAGAATTGGGGTGTAGGCCAGAGGTGGGGGAGTGTGAGAAGACTCACCAGAGACAGAGTGGGGGAAAAGGAGCATTAAAGAATATGGCATGTGGGCCTCCTTGTTGGTGCAGGGGTTAAAGTCAGTGC